CAGTTATATTTGATAATAGTTCATGCACTATTAAAGATAAAAAATCTAGTTTGATTACCGTAAATGTTTGCATGATGCAAAACAAAATATTTTCACTTGATATTTCAAATATTGAAAAGTATGCTCTTATCACAACTCAAAAGAATGAGTCTATTTTATGATATTTATATTTGATAATAGTTTATGCACTATTAAAGATAAAAAATCTAGTTTGATTATCGTAAATATTTTCATGATGCAAAACAAAATATTTTCACTTGATATTTTAAATATTGAAAAGCATGCTCTTATCACAACTCAAAAGAATGAGTCTATTTTATAACATTTAAGATATGAACACCTTAACATTAAGGGTTTAAGGTTGTTAAATCAAAGAGAAATGGTTTTCAGATTATCCAAAATTAATACACTCGATGTATATGAAGGATACATTTATGGTAAACAAAGTAAAAAAATCATTTCCTGTCGGAAAAGCATGGAGAGCATCTAATTATCTTGAATTAATTCATGCTAACTTATGTGGATCTATGAATACAAAATCATTTTATGAAAGTTAATATTTTTTATTATTTACTAATAATTATAGCCACATGAGTTGGGTATATTTTCTGAAACTGAAAATTAAAATATTTGATAATTTTTAAAAATTCAAGACACCTGTAGAAAGACAAAGTGGTAGATACATAAAGACACTTTGAATAGATAGAGGTGGTAAATTTTTATCTAATGAGTTTAATTCTTTTTATAAAGAAAATAGTATTCATAAAGAATTAATAGCACCATATACATGTGTAGCTGAACATAAGAATCGAACTGTTGTTGAAATGACAAGAAGTTTACTTAAAGGAAAACACCTTCCAAATTAGTTTTGGGTAGAAGCGGTTGCAACAACAGCTTATTTGTTGAATATTTCACCAATAAAGCCTGTTATAAATCAAACTCCTTTTGAGGCTTGGTATGGTATAAAATCAAGTGTAAGTCATTCAAGAATTTTTGGTTAAATTACTTATGCTTTGGTGAATTCATAAAATCATCATAAGCTTGATGAAAAATCTAAAAAATGTATCTTAATTAGTTATTCCTTATAATCCAAAGCATATCGATTATATACTCATGTTAGTGATAAAGTTATTATTAATAGAAATATTATGTTTGATGAAAGGGCAAGTTGGAATTAGGAGACCAATAAAGGTGGAAAACAAATTAAGATTCAACAAAACTAGACACTCCACAGAATCAAATGATAGATCCTACTCCAACAAGTTCATCGTCAACCTCACCCAGTAGCAATTCAAATTCTAATTCTTTATATGAAGCCCCTCCAAGAAATTTCAAATCACTAATAGAAATTTATGTGCTTTGTTTATTTCAGATTCTATAACTTTTTGAGGAAGCGGTTAAAAAAGAAGAATGACGAAAAGCAATAGAGGAAATCAAATTAATTGAGAAGAATGAAACTTGGGAGCTAATGGATCTACCGAAAGAAAAGAAAGTTATTGGATTAAAATATGTATTCAAAACAAAGTTTAATGCAGATGGAAGTATCCAAAAGCATAAGGCTTGGCTTATAGCAAAACGATATTCACAGCAACAATATATTGATTTTGATGATATTTTTTCTCCAGTTGCTAGATTTGAAACTATGAGAACTTTCTTAGCTTTAGCTGCTCACATGAGTTGGCCTATTTATTAATTTGATGTTAAATCTATATTTTTAAATGGTGATTTACATGAAGAGATTTTTGTTACTCAACTTGAAAGTTTTTTTTATTAAAGGATATGAAGAAAATGTATATAAGCTAAAGAAAGCTCTTTGTGGGCTTAAACAAGCTCAAGAGCATGGTACAATAAAATTGATTACTATTTTCTTCAAAATGGATTTAAGCGGAGCAATAATGAACCTACTCTTTATCTAAAGAAGGAAAGTAAACATAATGTTCTAATTGTTTGCCTTTATATTGATAATATTATATATATGGGTTCATCTAACTTTTTTGTAGCGGTTTACTGCATTATTTTTTTGGGTTGGAAGTGAAGTAGGGATCAGATAAAATTTTTATTTCATAAAGTAAGTATATAATGGATCTACTCAAAAAATATAACATGATTAATTGCAAAGCTGCAACAACACCCATGAATGTAAATGAGAAATTAAAATTTGAAGATGATATATGTTTGACAAATGCAAGATACTATAGAAGTATGGTTGGATATTTGATTTATCTAACTCATACTCGACCAGATATTACCTTCTCTGTTGGTGTAGTATCCAAGTTTATGCATAGCCCAAGCAAATATCATCTCGGAGCTGTTAAAATAATTATGCGTTATATTACTGGAACTACAAATTATGGTATTTGGTATTCTCATAATTTTAAATATTAATTATTTGGTTTCACTGATAGTGATTGGGCAGGAGCTTTAGATGATAGAAAGAGTCCTTCAAGTAATATTTTTAGCCTCGGATTAGGAGTTATATCTTGGAGTTCAAAAAAATAAGCAATAACTACGTTATCAACATCGAAAGCAGAATATGTAGTTGCAACATCAACAGCTTGTCAAGCAATATGGCTTAGAAGACTTCTTGAAGATCTTCATGAAGAATAAAAAGAAGTGATAGAAATATTTTGTGACAACAAAGCCACAATAGCAATGATGAAGAATCCAACATTTCATAGAAGAACGAAGCATATAGAGATACACTATCATTTCATTCGAGATCTTGGAGCTATTGAATCTCATATTTTGATGATGAAACCACTTGATATGTGTTTATGATTTAATCTATGTTTTGAGTGACGTAGGATACTTCAATCAGAATGAGACAATTAAAGCAGGAAAATCATGTTGCGTCGGAGGAACATGTCAGAAGATTGGACGTCGGGCCGGTGGATCGGTCGACGTATCGATAGAAGGCTTCGAGCCAAGAAGAGCGGAGATTGTGCCAAGGATATGATAGTTGTGGAGTCAACTGGCCGATTGGGCAATAGGCCGTAAGAGAGGACGATGTGCCGAAGAATCAGATGAAGCGTCGAGGGACCAATGACATGCCAGACAACTTGATTAATTGCTTAGGATTAATTGTCTCGATCGAAGTTTTATTTTAAGTGTGTAGGATTAACTACGATAGCTTGAAGACATAAAGCATGTCTACCAGAGTCAAGTTCGATGGGTGTTCGAGAGTCTGCCGAAAGTCCGAAGAATCATCGGAAGTGCTGTCGGAACCAACCGAGAAAGAATCGGGGACTTGTTGAAGTTTTCAGAAGTCCGCCGAAGAGATCGTCAGAGGTTCACGGAGATTATCGAGAAGGTTCAGCTACTTACCAAAGACTCGCTGAACTTGCCACAAGATCGAGAGCCTACTGGGAGTCCGTTAGAAAAAATCTGAGGGTGTATCGGAAGTCCGCCGGAAGATCGCCGAAAAGCTCGCTGGAAGGAAACTCGATGTTGCCGGTTAAAAACCTGCTTAGGACTATGTCTTAATTTCATAGTTTACATATAATTAGGGTTAAGATTAAGAGTTAATCTTATAACCTGGTTAGGGGCCAATTGGGCCCTAATATGAACTGGTTTGGGCCAAATTTAGAGCCCAACCAGTGACTTGTAAGGACGGGCGGTGGTACCGCCAGACTGGGCGATGGCACCGCCCAGCACCCAAAAGGTCGGGCGGTGGCATCGCCACCGATAGGCGGTGGCACCGCCAGTAAATAGTCAATGTGAAATTGACAAGCGGTGGCACCGCCAGCTCCGGGAACCTAAAGGAATTCAAAACTTGGAATCCAACTTTGAATCCTCTTGTGGTCTATAAATACCTCTCAATTCTCAGTAGAGAAGATATCTTTTGAGAAGTTAAAAATTGAGAAAAAGCCTTAGCAAAGTCTTATTTTTTCAATAGCTTAAGTGTTCACTTCCCTCTTTCTCTTTGAAAAATATGTAAGAGTATGAACCACTTGTAAAAAGGTTGTAAGAGGGGTATTTGGTCCTTCTCCTTCAACGTGATTTGCTAGTGGAAGTTGGGAGCCTCATCGAAAAAGACATGTAGGTCATTTGACCGAACCACTTTAAATTGTTGTGTTCCTTGAATGTGTTAGTGTTTAACTTTCTAAAACCTTTACTTACTTAGTAGCAAGCTTTTGGTTTTCATCTCCTTACTTTACTCGAGTTACTTTTACTAAGTCATTCTTTGTCGAATCGAAATCTCTATATATTTACGAAATCGTTTACAAACTTACGAGTTTTAATCCGTTGCACTAATTCACCCCCCTCTCTTAGTGCCGCTCTGATCCTAACAGTAGCAAGTAAAGCCATAGCAATGAAGTATTGTGGAACAGATGAATAAGTTACGAATATCCTCACTAAGTCGCTTCCAGTTCAAAAGCATGTTTATTTTATGTCGCAAATCGGTGTATGTAACTATGAATCAAGGGAAAGTATTGAGAATTGATTCATAGTAGTTATCTAGGTAATTACCATGTTCTAGGTAGTTATAGGCATGTGTTAAAAAGTGACCCATGATCTAGAAGTTATAAGATAGTTCCTACTCCTAATTCAATCATGGGTGACATGGATAGTTACCACAAGATTCTATAAATAGCACCACAGTTCATGATGTAAGATAGAATGTGTACTTGGGAATATCTTGTAATTGTTCTTGTCTTACCTCTTATTTAAATACTACTATGATTTTCTTGATCGAAATTATTTTTTTTAATTACATCATAGTATTTTATTTTTATCATTTGCTTGCTCCTTCATCCCCAATAATTTCTAACATTCACTACCTATTCTTATTCTTAGTGTTGGATGAAAAAATAATTTATACAATTCTCATTCTTCAGTTCAACCAAACACCACCATATCAAGTCTCTGAATTAATAACAACTATATTATCATAATTTGATGTCCATGAGAAGCATCAAATTTATTCAGATATAACACGGCTCCAGGTTTGGTGGATCCTAACACGCAAGTGATCTAAGCAGGGGTAGCAGAAGGTTTGGGCCTGACGGTGACTCCCGCAAGAAGCATGCCACCCTGCCACTTCTGGCTCTCGATCTCATACATGCCGAACTCAACCTTCCCACCAGTCTGTGTCGATAAGCTGAACTCCCCACCATGGATCTCACGCCACCCTTTGCTTCTTCTTTTGCTGTCCGACTCCATCACTCGGGATATCTCCTTCCTCTGCCCTTCCGGGGTGACAAGGCGGAAGGTGACAGGGACTCCGTTCCACCCGAAAGCATCATCCTTGAACTTGATGTGGTAGATTATCTCATAGGTTTGGGGTTTCGCCAGCTCCAGTGTTCCTGTTGCTTCAAGCCAGCACACCTGATTGAGATCTGCCGCAGTGCCAAAGCTACATGACGTCCAAGAAAACAAGCGAATGAATGATAGTGTAAAGAATGAGAAGGCTAATCGTTGGGCGTTGTTGGTATATATATATACGATGGTTTTTCCGTGGAAACATCAGTCCAGTTCCAAAATCTCTTGTCGTCAACCCAAGCTATTTGCATGTCTTTTGCTGAGATGTGAAGTCTGTCTTTGCCTGTCTCATCCTGCTCAAGAAAGATTAAAATCAGAAGAGAAAGAGAAATCTGAGATGATGGGGAACAGCAGCAATTACCGTAGGTGAGTGGGCGTGGTCGTCCCCTCCCTCGTGGCTCATCTCTGCTCGTGCCTTCCGCCCTCCTCTCTCTGCACTGCACTACTCCCTGTGCACTCGACGGCTTACATATATAGAACAAAAAAGAGAAACTGGTGGTTAAGATTTAAAGTATTATCTTTTCAGATTTTTATTTTTTTATTTTTTAATAAATTGATTAGATAGAATTTTAGATATAAGGATCCATTAGTTTAAATCATTATTTTATATTTATAAATAAATAGTATTTACATTCATTCAAATACGAAGTCTTAATGCCTATATGACTCAGTAATTCAAGATCGCGTAACTATTTTTCTTCCTGAGAAGATAAATATAATTTTTTTTAAAAAATTATCTTGGTTTTTTCTTTTTCTATTTAGTTTGATCTTGATCAATAATATCTTGATACCACTATTTGAGAAAGGATTATGCTTGCATATGATATTTTTATTTCTTCATATGATATTAAAGCCCTATGGATGATAATATGTATTTCAATATCTCTTAAATAAAAATAATAATCTTTTTCGACTATAGATTATAATAGTCGAGTTGATGGGTTTAGTGTTAAAAATTTCAATCAGTCTTACTACAAGATTTTAAAGACTTATTTAAAGTTATATCTCATAGGGGAAAATCTATGGGGATGTAGTTGGTAGCGATGCAACAACAACACCAAATGCTACAAATAGAGATATCACAAAGAGATAAAAAAATATTAAATACAAAAGCTAAATTTGTGTTAAAGATATTTATCTCTTTGAACATATTATTGGTCACAAGTTTGCTTTAGAAATTTATATTACTCTTATTGTATTGCTTAACAAAAAACATATGGCTCGACTTTAATATTTAAAGAATGATTTAGTAAATACTATCCAAGATGATTTCTCAATTTCTCAATATTTTTTAAGATTAAAAATTTATATTCAGAGATATCACTCTTAAATTCAAATAGGTTTATTTCTAATATATGAATAAAATATTATATTATTCATGATCTTTAAAAAAATATTATTTATGTTACATCTATTTAACGATGGGTTTAACAACTATCCTTAATAGAGTTAGAAAATCTTCTTACTTCTTAGGAATCCATATCAAATGACCGAAGTCTGGAGATATCCTATTTAAAAATAAGAAAAAGGATAATGATAAAGATAAAAAGAAGAAGAATGATGTTAACAACAAACTAAGATCTTCTTTGAACAATAGTATAAATCAAACGAAGATCTAAGTGTTATAGGTGTAGCAAGTCATGTCATATCAAGAAAAAATATTATGTTAAAATTAAAAATTATAAATAAAAAAGATTGTATATATGAAGAAGATTGAGATAAATATTTTATGATTAAAACTACTATAGTAGGGGCTATGATATCTATCAACTTCGAACATGACTAGTGATTGTATCAAATTTTTATCAATCTTTATCAATATAAAGATAATGATATAATTATTATGATAGACAATGCTATTTACCAAGTGGAGAATGAATGTACAATCATAATCTTAGATAAAGATAATGATATTATTATATTAAAGAGTGTGTACTATATTTCAAGTATGAAAAAAAATCTCTTTTTTGTTAAGTTGATATTGAAAATTATATTCTTTTTTGTCCTAACGAAGTTAAGCTTCTTCGCAACATGAAAAAATTAAATACAGATGTAATACAAAGCACTATAATTTGATACTTGTTATAAGTGGGTTGAAGATTCTAAGAGAACCTTTAGTTATGTGGCCAAGATAACATCTATCGGGATGGTGATTAGTCTAGCAGCTAATCTTAGATAGAAAATTTGACAACCTGAAGAATGCCTTCTTCTCTGCTAAAATTGATAAAATTACTTATATGAAATAACCACCAAGGCATATTCTATTTTCAAACTAAATTATATTTATAAGCTCAAGAAGGCTTTATGGGTTAAAGTAAGCTCTTAGAGTATGGTATAAACTTTACTTATGCAAATAAAAAACTAAGTTATAATAATAAAGGTTTTTTTACCATCCATTTTTCGTGCTCGTAGTCTCATATACTTAACAATTTTAAAACTAGATATTACATTTTCATTTGGTCTTATAAGTCATTTTAAGACAATAAAGAGAATTTTAAAATATATAAATTCTACTCTTAATTTAAGATTATTTTATAAGAAGAGCATTTATCTTGAATTGCATGTTATGCAAATACAGAGTTGAGAGATGATTTGGATAATCGTATACTTACTACTCAAGAATATATTTGGTTACGACATTTGATCAATGATGTTTGTTATTAAATTAACAAACTAATAATTTGTGAACGTGATAATCAAAGTATCTAAAATTGGCTCAAATTTAATTTAATCAAAGTATCTAAAATTGTTTCAAAAAATAATTGAAGTCATGGAGTTCAAAAACAAAGATAACAAATATAATTTTATTTGATTTAATCTCGAGCTAACAATCCCTTACGTCTCCCATTTGAGAAAGACTGCACTCACATACGATTGTTTTATTCTTCGCAAATGTGAGAGAATAACTTTCTTAAAGAAGGATGCGGATCGAAACGCTGCAACAACACTTGCATACGAAAGCTGCTTTGGTGAGTGGAAGGATTGCGGTGAACATTATCGAAACGCAAAAGATCCGCAAGTGTTGTTTATTCGGATGACGGCCGGCCGACAAGAACTCAGCTTTAGTTGCAGAAGGAAGCATCATTCTTAATTTCTTGTGGGATTTCGATAGCCACTATTGAAGAAGGAACATATAAACAACCTCTTATCGTGAGTGTTGCTAACCCATTATGTTATTTTTCTAAACCAAAATCTTATTAATCTCTAATCGTAAATCTCAATCTTCATATCCACTTTCTCCGTCATATAAAAATAATTATATCAGAAATATGAATTTTTTGGGGCCATGATTTAAGAATTTTGTGGTGGGTCGGAGATAAAAGAAGAGAGCTAATGGAATCGGAATACTGTGCCCACTGCCTATTCTCTTGACGAACCAAAGCAAAAGACGTGTCTTTGTCTGTCACATGAACGAATCTCGAGACACATTATATGTGAGGAGACTTCTTCTTGCTCTCAAATTAAAATGAATTTTATTATTTCTAATTATCTTCTAAATGTTATGTGATGATTAACATGCGGCCGTCTTAGCTCAGCTGGTAGAGCGCGTGGCTTTTAACCACGTGGTCGTGGGTTCGATTCCCACAGACGGCGCTCCTTTTTACAAAAGTATATTTTAAAATGGTTTCTAAAAATAAAATAAATAATTAAATTAATCCACCGCCGTCTTAGCTCAGCCGGTAGAGCGCGTGGCTTTTAACCACGTGGTCGTGGGTTCGATTCCCACAGACGGCGCTCTTTTTACAAAAGTATATTTTAAAATAGTTTCTAAAAATAAAATAAATAATTAAATTAATCCACCGCCGTCTTAGCTCAGCCGGTAGAGCGCGTGGCTTTTAACCACGTGGTCGTGGGTTCGATTCCCACAGACGGCGTTCCTTTTCCAAAGTAAAATGTACGTTTTAATAGTTAAAATAATTTCTAAAGCTAAAATAAATAATTAAAATAAAGGAAACAATTAATCCACCGCCGTCTTAGCTCAGCTGGTAGAGCGCGTGGCTTTTAACCACGTGGTCGTGGGTTCGATTCCCACAGACGGCGTTCCTTTTCCAAAGTAAAAAGTACGGTTTAATAATTAAAATAGTTTCTAAAGCTAAAATAAATAATTAAATTAAAGGTTCACCGCCGTCTTAGCTCAGCTGGTAGAGCGCGTGGCTTTTAACCACGTGGTCGTGGGTTCGATTCCCACAGACGGCGCGCATTTGCTATGTTTTTTTTTTTATATTTTTATATTTTAATATTCGAAATAGTATATTTAATTTAATAATAAAAATAATAAAATTAAGTGGGAGAGTTGAAAAAGGTATTTATTATTCTAATATAAATATATTTTAAGTATAAGCTTTATCCTATTGAAATATATTTTGATAAAAATCCAAACTATTGTTTGAAATCAAAATTAAGTGGGATAGATAGTTAGGGGACTTTAAGTTGATCATTTATAGCTTAATGCCAAGAGTCACAGTGAGTCTTTGAATCATGACACTCAGATCCCCATAGAAATAGGCCATCCATCAAATTTTGGCAAAAGAATATTATTTTCTCAATTAAAATCTGATATGAAAAATATTTTCTAATCATATGATAACCCATGCACACACACACTCAAAATATTTCATATCTCTTATACGATCAACACACACTCACAAAATATTTCATTTCTCTTATATCATCAACACACACTCAAAAAATATTTCATTTCTCTTATATCATCAACACACACTCAAAAAATATTTCATTTCTCTTATATCATCAACACACACTCACAAAATATTTCATTTCTCTTATATCATCGATACACACTAACAAAATATTTCATTTCTCTTATATCATAAATAGATAACATTTCCTCAAGGCAGTTGAGGAAATCTCTAAGCAGTTGAGAAAAATCCTTCATGCTGAATGTGTATAATCTCCCTGTTGAGTATGTATAAATAGCTATCAAGAGCTCACTATCAAAATGAACTAGGTAATTACATCTTATACATTTCATAGTTTCTTCTACAATTTCTATCTTTCTATCTTCTTCATTTAATTTTTAACATGGTATTTGAGCAAGAAATGGAGATTGTCCCAAAAGGCAGTTTATGACTCTTATTACAAAGACAAGCATTGCAATGATTGACAGTGCTATTGATTTTCAAGGTAGGAAGAAAATAACGAGAAAGTAATTTTTGCTAGATAAAAGGGGAGGGATGACCAAGACGACGATGTCATACATCAACTGGAGCTGCGACTGAAGAGTGAGCAATAGGAAGGGTAATTTGCAAAGCGGATGGCCACTCATAAATGTTATCTTTATTCTGGCCCTAGACTAAGGATGCCCCCGTGCTCAAATCCTTGACAAGAAAAAAATTAGGAAAGAATTCAATTGAGGTATTATTTTGTTTACAGAATTGAGAAACAGAAATGTGGTTTCTTTTAATGTTAGGTGCACACAGAACATCATCGAGTGTAAAAG